GGTATGTTGTACAATGTTCTTTTGATTCGAAAAAAAAATTCCACAATATTTACGAGAGGGCGAAATATTAAAACAAATATACGAGTATGTGTGTAGAGATTATGTAAAATATAAATCATATATGTGATATTCTAATCTCAAATAACCCGTGATGTTTTTCTATATTTTTTGCGTTCCACACTTGTCACATAAGCGCTATATTATTTTAATATCAATCTCTCTCTCTCTCTCTCTCTCTCTCTCTCTCTCTCTCTCTTTCGCGGTTTTTGCCTCGATCTCGCGCGACAAACATAATATTTAATGATAGATCCGCGAGATCCGGACTTTAACACGTGTGTTTGCAATTCACCAGACATGTTTAATTAACTGCATTAACCTCGCGATATTATTATCATGTGAAAGTGACTGTGAAATAACACGGGACACTTTATAGAGTGCATTAAATCTCGGCATCTCGACGCTCGCTGGTCCGAGATCATAAATACGATTATGATATCGCCGCGCTCTAATAATAAGTTAATTTGCAGAATAAGTATACCGAGTCGGCGCGATACGACTCGCGCGCGTTGCAGGAATAATGAAAGCGCAGAGGACGATTTTTCATCGCGATTTTTACGCGATTACGCTGTTAAGATAAGAACTCAGTCTTTTTTTCGCGTTTCATCGACGTTTATCTGCCGGCGCGCCCTGATTACGCGGTGACATAAAAAAGCCGATGACTTTTCAGTCACACACGCACACACACATATATATATAGTATATAATATAGTCATATATAGTATAGTCACATATAGTATAGTCATATATAGTATAGTCACTTATAGTATAGTCATATATAGTCATATATAGTATAGTCACATATAGTATAGTCATATATAGTCGTATATAGTATAGTCATATACAGTCATATGTATATATAACTGTATATGACTATAATATATAGTATAGTTATGACTATACTATATATACTACGTCTATACTATATACTATATATACTATGACTGTACTTTATACTATATATACTATGACTATACTTTATACTATATATACTATGACTATACTACATACTACATATACTATATACTATAGCTTATATATATATATATATATATATATATATATACCTACATACAAGCATGACGAAAATGAAAATGTGTATCATGCAGCGATAGGCGCATATATACGTATCTGATATACGTGGTAATGACACATTTACGACACGTCAATGGCACGCCGCCTCGTGCCATTACGGAAATTGCTATTACAGATAGATTATATGTACGTGTTACACATCTAGCGCGCAGCTATTAATATAAAAGTTGATTTTAACGATAATTATACAGGTACGAAATTGGTATTCTCTCGGCTAACTTTTTTATAAATTGTCGTGATATCTTAATTAGTGTCCCGCGCGAGTGTCCACTTACTCAGTTAATAAACATTATTACACAGTCATAAAAGCAGTTTATAAAAAAAGATGTGCGAATCGTCGCTCTAATTGATTTGTCGCAAAAGTTGATCGATGAAGGATCGCGAGAGTCGTTTCAAAAATTGCAATCCACAAATTTACATCGCTAATTGCGTATATGAGAGATGGGAAATGTGTCTCCGAATGATAAATGCATTTGTTGAATTTTTTTTCGCACTACGAAATAATTCGTGTTAACAAATTACATGCGATGAATCGCGCCGGATATATAAATCCCCGATGTAAAATATGCGGAACGTACGTAGTTTCTATGAGACCATTATTATCATCGTTATTAACTTCGTTCAGTAACTGATTTTTTTTTCCCGGATTTTCTTCTCCGACGACGGCGAGATTCTATTTTGATTCGCGCGAAGAATACATTAATCAACAACGTCGTATAAATGCAGCCAATTAGTATAATCACTCGATAAATTCGAATTTAATTGCCCGCTGCACTTTCTTCCGATACGGGATGACATCGAATGCGCAACATCAATGATGTGCCTGTTTCGTTTTCTCGAATCACAAAATTCCGATAATGGGAGAAAGAAATTATTCTGTCGTGTTTTTTTTACTTTTAGTTTACCTAACGCAAATTAATTTTCTACATGTATGTATATAAAATATATATAACTTCTCTTTCCAAAAAAGGTAAATTAAGATAACATTAATTTTTTGAATACATAATTCAATCTGTAAAATATTTTCAAAAAAAATCTGATCACGTCTTTTTAATTTGTTATTTTTATTTAATTTTTATTTTTTTGTTTATTATATGCAAATTAATTTTCTACACAAAATATATATAGTTTCTCTATTCATAAAAAGGGAGAGAAGCAGAATAAATATTAATTTTGGAATACATAATTCCAATCTATAAAATATTTTGCAAAACAAATTTGATCGTGTTTTTTTTCAAGTTTGTTTATCCTACACAAATTAATTTCCTACACGCAGAATATATGTTTTTTTATCCATAAAAAATATAGAATAAGTATTAATTTTTGAAACAATTCTCCCTCCCATATAAAATCTATAAAATATTTAAAAAAAAAATAATTCGATCGTGTTCTTTTTTAATTTTGTTTATCCTACGCAAATCAATTTTCTACGTGTAGAATATATGCAATTTCTTTCTTCGTAAAAAAGCAAAATAAGTATTAATTTTTTAATATATAATTCTAATCTATAAAATATTTTTAAAAAATAATTTATTTTTTATGTTGTTTATTTTACGCGAATTAATTTTCTACATATACATGCAGAATATGTAATTTTTTTCTCGATAAAAAATAGAATACATATTAATTTTTCAGATTTTTAAAGTCAAATTAATTTTAATACCTACAAAATATTCAATTCTATACAATTACGATAAAAAATATAGTGTGCAAAACGGATTTAGCGTGTGTTTCACGAGATTCCTGACGAATTCTGCGACGGAGCAAGGACCGAATAAGTGCGATCGTTTGAGAAGAATTCTTGGGTGACGTATGCGCGCGAATTCGTCACCGAGGACAGCCCCTTGAGCGAGAAAACGTAACGAGCGACGCGCGCCCTCCGCGAAGCGAAACTTAAACGAGATTATCGGCCTCTTCTAGGACAAAGGGACGCGTGAATAATTTGACGCAGCCGGTACCCGGCAGAGCCTGCGAAGACGCACACAGGAATTCTTGAAGCCGAAGGGGCCGACGTCCGAAAGCGGGTACCGGGATTCCGAACTAATTCGCGGCAACACCACGTGCTAATCCGTCTTAAGTTAATACTGGAGAAGCAATAATCGCCCGGCACGCCTAGCACGACGAACCGATCAATCTGCATCCGGCTTCCGGCCGCTTTACATGTTGCGGAGAAGCGCAGATCGATCCTTCATAGATCACACTTGGAGAAACTTGTCATATGTTTTAATACAGTTAAGTCAGGTAATTTAAATTAGAGAAGGGCGACAGATCGCGTTGATCGTTTGAGATGGAATTGATATTTATTTTGGAACGAATAATACGAAAAATATATAATAAACGCAAAAAAAATGTATAATTAATTACTATATAATATACATATAATTAATTACTATATAATATACTATATAATATACTATATAATATACTATAATTAATTACTATATAATATACAGAATTTTTTAAGTACAAAAAATTTAAAGGGATATTCCTTGATATTTTGACATTTTGGCATTTGACACTTTGACAACTTGTATTTTAAAAACAAAGTAGTTTGGGGCAAATGTTTATAAGATCTTTTTTTCATAAAATAAGCCAAGGAATATCTCGTTCAATATTTTGTACTTATTGTTAGAAAACATCCTGTATACAGGGTGTTTCAGGAAAAATGGTCAGTATTCTAGGACATGATTGTACACATCATTTTAAACAAAAAAGTTTATATAAACATGTGTCCTATTCTAGATGATTATAAAAATACAACATATTCAGTCTTAAGAACGAATATATTTATTAACTTATTAGACTCAAATTCTATGAAACAATTACATTAAATTTTAAGCTTACAATTTATTTGAATAATTAATATTAATTAATAAACAATAATTTCAATTAATTAATACTAATTTATACATGAGTGAATAAGAGTCATTTTAATTACAGCAGAAACCTAAAATTATAACCTAATCATTAGAACTAATAAGCCAATAATTAACATAGAACTTATCAAACATGATCTGCTGTTTACATTCGTAACATGGTAACAAAAAACGACTATTTAATATAGTCGTTTCATAGCATTTTTTTGCTAATAATAATAAGTTAATTCAATATGTATTCGTTCTTAAACTTGAACACGTTGTATCTTTATAATCGTTCAGAATAAGATACATGTTTATATAAACTTTTTTGTTTAAAACGATATGAATAATGTCCTAGAATCAGTGTTTGCTGTTATCTAAATAAAATTATATAGATAAAATTTTGATGTCATCTTATCTTTACAAAGATAATAAAAATGTTTTTTCTATATCTGCATCTTATTGTTAGATTAAAAAAGTGTTATCTTTACTAAATTACTAAAAAAGTGTTATTTTTACTAAATAGTAGAATTTATGCACTAAGCAACAAAAAATAAAAACATTAATATATAATATTTTTATATCTCTTTTATAATTTACATTCTTTTTACAACTATGTTTACATAAACGCTTTTAAAAATAATATTATCTGAAAGTTATGTAGATGAACCGTCATATAATTTATCCTTTATCAATTTTATTCTTTATCAATATAATTTAATATCTTGAATAATTTTCGAGATATATCAAAAAAGCAAAAATCCATTTTATTTATGAGGAATGATTTCATCCCTTAAACCATAATTCAGCACAAACAAAAAATAGCTTTGCATTACAGATGAACTACTCTACGTACCCAAAGTTTCAGAATTTTTTAAATTTTCGGGAAGTACCTGACTTCCCTTGCTGACCAATTTTTCTCGAAATCCTGTATAAAACGCGCACAGTTGCGCCAAAAATATTCCTCGTCAAAATCGAATGAAAACTCACCAGCGGCGGGTAGAACGCGGAGCTGTCCATTCCAATACTGGGGTAGGGTCCCTGATCGGTGGTCGAGGGCGTCGGCGTGGGGTAGGAGGAGTAGGAGGTCGCGGTGGGCCCTAGCCGGGGGTAAGCGCCCAACGCCAGCCTCGCGGCGCTGTCGTACTGACAGCTGCATACCGTCTGGCCCGTCATCGGGTCCGTCATCATGGGCCTGCCGTTCTCGCAGCAACCGGGCCCGGTGGCTGCGCCCCCGACGGGGGTCGTGGCGCCACCGGTGCCCGCGGGCCCGATCCCCGTCGTCGTGGTCGCCGTCGACGAGGGTGACAGGCCCCCCGGGCTCAACGCACTCCCCGACGACATGGCCGGCGAGGTCGCCGTCGTCGGTTGTCCGCCGCTCACCAGGAGCTGAAAAATATACATGGGATGGTTAAAGGGATCCTAAATGTCTTTGAGAAGTTTGCTGTTTTTCCTGTTTTATCGACAAAAATTGAGGTTAGATAAATTATAAATCTATTTATTGGCTATACGGATTGTTTTTACATGAAATTAGATCAGGCCGGAGTTGGCATTGGATAAAGAAATAAAAGTGAATAATTAGATATTAATTTGGAAGCCTAGTGAACGAGAATAACTCATCCTACATCTTCGTGCACACATGAAGCCTCGGGAAATATAAGGAAATAAATATTCATCCGTGCTCTTGCAATTATACTATATGTTAAAAGGATCCTAAACGTCCTTGAGAAGTCTGTTGTTTTTTCCTCTTTTATCGACAAAATGTGAGGTTAGATAAACTATAAATCTATTTATTGACTATATGGATCGTTTTTTACCTGAAATTAGATCAGGCCGGATTTGGCATTGGATAAAGGAATAAAAGTGAATGTTTAGATATCAATTTGGATGCCTAGTAAACGAGAATAACTCATCCTACATTTTCATGTGTGCACGAAAATGTAGGATGAGTTATTCTCGTTTATTAGGCTTCCAAATTTATATCTAAATAATCACTTTTATTCCTTTATCCAATGCCAAATCCGGCCTGGTCTAATTTCAGGTAAAAAACAACCCGTGTAGCCAATCTTCTTCTTCTTAATTCTTCGTGACAGGTACGACTTTCGGCTATCAGTGGGTTATAATATTTATATTTTTCCGTATATACGACAAAGGAAAAAAGAATTTCGGACGAAACACGTCTAAACGCGTCAAAGGACGCTAAAAAACTCCCGTATAGCCAATAAATTTATAAATAGATTTATAGGTTATCTCACCTCACATTTTGTCGATAAAACAGGAAAAAACAACAGACCCAAGGATGTTTAGGATCCCCTTAACATAGTATAATTGCAAAAACACGGATGAATATTTATTTCCTTATATTTCCCGAGGCAAATATATGGAAAGGCAATTTTTCCAACTTATTTCGTGTCGATATATATGCAGTTTTGCGTGGCAGAAACTATTTGTTTTCCTTCTGAACGGATTTCCATTTTGCATTCTCTTCACTCTCTTTTCAGTGATACATATAAATGACACATCAAGCGGTAGCTGCTCGCACGCAAATATGCATAGACATGTCGTGATAAGAGTATTGTATATGTATACTATATTGTATATGTACATTACATTGTGTATTACATATTCACGTACGATTAGAGAGACGTAAAAAAAAAAATCTATTTTTTCCCCGTTGTCTTTTTAATCAATTTACATCGCCTCAACGACTTTCCGATATTTGCAATAAGCATGAATATGTTGAATAGCAAATATATTGTATATACATTTATATGAAATACAAAAATTGTAAAATGCTCGATTAGAAGTCAACTCGTAGATGTTGCATATTTATAAAGTAATAATCACTAAAAGTGTAAATTAACAAACTTAATATTAAAAAATTATTTTAATGATTTATTTAACATTATATTAAATCAAGATTGTAAATGTAATTATTTATTATTTCTTAATTAATTATTATTTAATTAGTAGACAAAATTATTCTGTAAAAATATCTTATAAGAGAAAATTAATCTAGAGGCAGAAATTGTTTATAACATCATTAATAATTCTTTTAAAAATTCTTTCAACAGAATAAATGAAAAAAAAATGTTTCGAGTATATATTTTTTCTTTTTTTTTACGAGAATCTTATGCACTATGGAAGATCTTCTACAATCAGAGCTTCATCTTTTTAGAAAAAAACATATTACGAATAAACGTAGTACAATGTACATTTCATACGGTATTCAATTTTATCGGAGGTGAATCTCGGCGAATAATCGCGAACGATTATTCCCTGACGATTAATAGCTCCGTATAAACAGCTCCCGTATAAACAGAAAGACGTCACTCTCTCATGTGCGTTACCTCGCGCTAAATTGGCCTATTGTAAATGAGAACGGAATAAATCCCAGTAATTAATATGGCAAGGGCGCGAAATTATTTCCGTATATACATATATATATGTATTCACGTTGATAAAGTCTTCCCCTCTCGAACTCTCTTCCGTTGTACAAATCGAGAAGAAAAAAAGAGAGAGATAGTACGGAAAAAACACTAAAAACAAAACTCGATTATATAGATCTTTCTATTCGTAGATCGTATCGAAAACACGAGAGTGTGTGATGGATAGGATTTGTCGACGAGAAATTTATTTTCACAAACGATTTTCCCTCGCATTTTTATTTAGCGTTCGCTTCCCTCTCTTTCTCTTTTCGTGAATTATTGAAATGCTTATCAATGTCAATGTCAGTGTGCGTTTAGAAAAATACAACGATCAAGTTTTTGCGGTCAAGTTTTTTGCATATATATTGATGGGATTTTTTATCGCACGACAAAACTGTCTCTCGGTTGTTAAGCAATTCCTTGGAGACGGTCGCTTCGATTTTCTGTTTATTCGAAGTTCGACTATTAATATATGATACTTCCACGACAACATATGATTGCGATGTTTTTATTTCAAGGAAGAAATAATTTTCGCCTGTAATTTACGTGACAAGTATTTATCCACGACGTAAAGTTAAATTACTCTACGTAATTTTTCATTTAATTCAGATAGATTTAATTTTTAACTTAATAAATGGAATAAATTTTTATTCAATAAATTCTAATTTAATTTACTAAATTTCTAATTTAATTTAATAAATTAAAATTTATTAATTTAATTTAGAATTTTTAGTTTAATTACGAATTTCGTCTTCGTGGGAAAAAATCCGAGGAAATTCGCTTTTCCGGGACATCTCTAGCCGGATACAGCTCGCAATGTTTACAATCTTGGACGCGTCATCGATTTTTCCGCGCGCGTCAATAAACCCGCGTATTTTCACAAGAAATATCCCGGGACTTGGCGTTGCAAAAATAGAAGGGCGAAGAGAAGGCGAGGTAGATCCAACTTTCGTGAACAGAAGCTTTCCCGGACATTTTCATCTCTTGGTACATACATATGCGGTGGCAAACTTCGAGTTACGTGCGCATGCGCATATATTATGGACATATAAGATAGAGCCAACATGCCATACATTTCCTCAGGATATACCCAGATAGCCACAGTAATTATTATGACATCATTTTGACATCAAAATCTCTGCTATCTGGGTAAGTTTAAAGTCCTAGATAACAGAGATGCGACACTCATGGTCGATAGGTTCGATATATCAAAAACCGACATTTTGTTTCCTTATGGGCACTTAGGCTGTATTTGCTTTGACGCTTTCAGCGCTATAAACATCTTCTGTCTTCGTTGCACATCAAATATCAAATGAAGACAGAAGATGCTTATTGCACTGAAAACGTCCAAAACGAACGCAGCTTTAGGAAGACGAGACGCTAAAGATAGAAGTTAAGTTAGGTTAAATTAATACTCTCTAAACTCAATACTCTCTACTAAATATTTAGACAAATAAAAATACTTACACCATAATAATAGCTTTATATTGCACTTTGTATTTCTCCGTAGACTCTATTTCTCCGTTATAAACTTAATGTTTTCAATTTTGCATGTATTAAAGAACACCAGTGAGGAAATACAATGGCGTTGTGACCACGTGATTTTGACAGCCAATCAGGCCATGCTCGTGAGTGTCGCATCTCTGTTATCTAGGACTCCAATAAGTTAAGTTTGACAGAACGGATAGAAAGGCAAAACATCAATGAATCTGCGTCCTTTTCTGCGCATTAATGTCAGCAATGGCCGACAATTAATTGTCAATAATCTGATGAATAAATATAGTGTTATGCGTCAATAGCTTTCGAAAGACGACTGCACATCCTATCTGCGCAGATAAAGAGAGAAAATTCCCCTATGTTTTGCCTCTTCATCCATTCTGCCAAGGGCATTCATGGGTCTATCTTACATGTCTATCGCGTCGTTCACGCATAACCAGTGTTTGCTGTTATCTAAATAAAATTATATAGATGATTATCTAAATGAAATTTTTGTACATCATCTTATATCTTTATATAGATAATAAAATATGTATTATACATATCTGCGCGCGCATCTTAGATGAAAGAAAGTGTTATTTTTATTAAATTATCTAGAATAATATTCAGATATAACTTGATTTAGAATCACAGCACTTAAAAATACTTAAAAGTGTTTTTATTAAGTAGTAGAACTTAAGCAATAAAAACTTACAAATTAAAATATATATCATTTTTATATCCTTTTTATAATTTACATTTTTTTGTATAATAAAACTGTATTTATATAAGAGATCTTAAAAAAATATATAATATTATATAAGGTATAATATATATAAGTTATCTAGATGAATCACCAAATAGTTTTATCTTTTATCTAGATATATTTAAAACAAAATCATCTTTATCTTGTCTAAGATCAATTTACATATTTTCATCTCATCTTGATCTAGCTAGTTTTTAACGATACAAAGTTTAAGACCAAAAAAATTTATAAATTTATCATTTCTACCCAAAAAATAATGCAAACTATTTTTACTTTTGTGGTGTTATAAAATGATCTTGTAGCTATTAATAAAAAAAGATGCAATTAGCGAAATATTATATTTCTATTTTTTCTGTGATCTTTATTACTTTGGTCTTAAACTTTTTGATGGTAGTGTATATGGTTCTCGTCGTCTTTTCCGACGTGCTTTTTTTTTCTCGCCTCTAACGAAACGTTCCGGCGACACCTCCAGCGTGCGTGTCTGAAGCCATTCGCGTCCTGCTGGGATCCCACCCGAACCTTTTAAGATCTCGCTTCCACCCCTGCAGCGGTCGTCGCGAAAATCCTTCGGATCTCTATCCCTCTCTCTTTCTCTCTTGTATCATCTTCGCCTTGGCGAAGCAACCCCTCGAGAAGCCGAGTGCGAATCCCACCGTCGGAGAGTTTTTCGCTCGAGCCTACGTATTTTCTCCTTTAAACGATCGTCAACACGTGTGTGC